GCACACAGTAGGTGGTTGGTGTAGCGCTCTCTCAGACTCCACTGGGCCACAAAGGTCCTGCTTTGTTAGGAATGTGCTTGGACCTCCAAAGTTCCACACTGGGGATGGGAAATCTGTCACATGGTCTAGACAGAAAAATCTGGTGGTGTAGACACATCTGAAAGACACTGCTGTGCCTTGAAGCATGGCCAACACTCCCTTCCCTGCCTGTCACAGCCCTGTGGGCTGACTCTGTGTGGCACAGTCCCCTCTCCCCGACCACATACTGATTTTGCTGTCCCTGTCCCTATTTTAAATGAGTTTGTGTTTGCAGCTCTTAACAGTCAGCAGGAAATGGATGTGTCCCCCTGATACATCTGGTCAGGAGCAGCCAATAAAGTCACATGCCTGGCACCACCCATTGGGGAAAACCCCCTTCCTCGCATTTGGGCAGAAGCCACCCTCTTCCCTGACCTGGGCCAGCCTCAAATACAGGAGGAGTCATCCTGGCAGCACAGGAACCCCGGGCATCCCACAGGTAGCAGCTGCTCCCAGGCTGGATGGCCCAGACCCCCAGCTACATGACCTTCCTTCCTCCAGCCTCCAGACCTCCCAAGGGAGGTCTTCTCACTCCCTAAGAGAGCCAGATTCTCCCCATACCTCCTCTTTTTCTTGGAAGGAATAAAAATAACTCTAGGAACCTCTTCCATGACTCCTTCATGGGCTCTTCCAAACAACACTACTGCCCTCCACCCCTCACTGGGACTTTGTATTTCCCCTGTTGTACAACAAGCTGCCTTACATTTCAGAGTCTCAGTTTCTTCTTGTGTAAAATGACATCACACCCCACCCACCCCCATGGAGTTCTTGAAAAGCCTGAGGAGTGCAGCATGCAGTGATTGCCAAGGTGAATGTCAGAGTAGACGGGTGTGGGCAGCACAGGCCAGAGCTCACAGATGCACTCAGGGCTGGTCCACACCGCAGGCTTGCTTCTTCTGAGAGCAATCTGTGGGGACAGTTCCCAGGAAGGCAGGGGTGACCCCTGAGCATGTGGGAATAGCAGCTGTGGGCCAAAAGCTTGCACAGTCGCCCACTTTGGTGACACGCAGGGCACACCATTTCATGCTCAGCGTTCATAGTTAATAGTGAGAGTGAATGCTTGTATGGCACAGTGCACCAGGCTCTGCCTTCAGTACTTGAGATCATATCATATCAGATTATTTAACCTGATAGAACCCCATGAAGTAGGCAGTGGTACCATTCCCCTTCAATTTACAAATGTAAAGTCAAATAGCTTGCTAGTCCCCAGCTAGTAAGTGAATCTGGGCCTTGCGGTCTCTCAGTCAGATATTAAAGCCGGGTGTTAATATTCACAAAGAATGTTCTTAGCAGACACCTCTGTCCTTCTCTCTCTGCTTATCCCTCAGCTTTACTCCACCCTCAATCCACCTTCCATTCTCTCACCCCATCCATACAACTCCCTGCCTGCTTTGGCTTAGCTGCCTCGTGCAGGGCATGTGGGAAGCGGAAGCAAGTTCCTGAGCTAGGAGTTAGGACTCCAGCCTCTAGCTCTGTCTGCCTCTCCTCCTGCTGGGGTTTTGGGCTGCATTTTTTAATCTGTCCAGCCACACTTCTTTTTAAATTTCCCTTGGGTGTCAGGGAGGGTGGCAGCCAGTGAGGTCAGAGGCTATGAGGCACCTATGAGGTCAGAGGATGCAGAGTCTGGTGAAAGTCATCTGAAAACTCCAACAGCCCAGTCACATTGCAGAAAAGAGGTGGAAAGTCATTCTGGGAGACCAAACCCAGGTCCGGAGGGACTGGAGCTAGCTGGACAGTATGTGGCAAAATAGACATGAGCTGATGGAGAGAGGGACCCCAGGAAGGTTGGGAACAGTACTGCTGTGACTCCCCGGGGGCAGCTCTCCTCCCGGTGTGGCTGTGTTGTCAGAGTGCATCAGGAGGACACACCTGGGGTGTCACAGGTATAGCATGCACCTGAACACAGACACCCCTGCTTCCGGGATCTCATAACAGGCTCGTGAGTAGAACTTGTTCCCTGGGGCACACGTGGAATGACTCACGTGTGTCCCAGATGCCCCTGGGACCATACTGGTGCACGGGTCACAGGCTCTGTCATTCTTCTTGGTACCCCCCGCCTCTCCTTGGAGAAACCCCTGATCACTGCAGAGGTCTTTTTGCCTGTTGGTACCAAGGTCTAGGACTTGCTGATGCTGAGAGCTAATGACGTTGCGGGGGCGGGGTGGGGGGGCACACGCAGGAGGAAATGGATGAATGAGGTAAAGAGAGAGCATGTGAAAGGAGGTCAGAGGACCCTCAAGCAGGCTCTGCCACTAATCTGCTCCAGACGAAGGAAACCACTGCTTTCCCTGGGCCTCGCCTTCCCCATCTGTGAAGCAGCGAGGGGCCAGGGCAGCCCCCACTGACATGACCATCTCCCCTCTGAGTGACTGAGCACCAGTGTGAGTCTTACAGGACTCAGCCCAGGGCTCCCCAGCCCCTGGGAGGCTGGCAGCTTGGTCCAGGGTGCCCTGTCCTTTTCTTAAGTCTGCACCAATGAGTGGGGGAGAAAGGGGGGGTAGCGTTTTCTTTTCAACAACAATATAATTTTCTTGGAAATGAATGTATTTCCTTGCTGACTCCAAGCCATCTTGCCTCTTATCAGATTTCAAACCCTGTTCTGGCTCTGGTCCCCATTATAGCAGGGAAAGTGGGCAGGGGAGAGGCTGGGAGGGGCCCCTCTGATTGGCAGGTGTGCAGGGGCTTCTGGGTCCTTCGGGTTTCATCCCCCACCCCACTCCTGCTCACTCTAGCTGGGACCTACACCTTAGCCCTTTCCCATGAGTATGGCCTTGAACAAGTGACTATGCCCAAGTTTCTTCAACTGTAAAATGGAAATAACAGTACCGAAGTCATCATTGTATCAGAGGGCTGATACATATAAAACACCCAGAATCCTGTAGAAAACAATACACGCGTATAGCTGTCATTGCTGCGACTGGGGATTATTGTGCTGCAATGGTCCCCTTGCTGCCCTTGGCCCCCACTTAGCAGGCAGCATCTCCCTGCTTGTCTGTCTCTCACACTAGTCTGAGCCCCTAGAAGGCAGGGACCATATATGTGACTTGTTTGTCTCAGGCCTCTAAGGAAGGCCAGCAGGAGACCTAGGGCAGGGGCATGTCAGTGATGCACATGTCTTCCCCTAAGTGTGTGCTGGATGACAGGAGGGGGCAGTGCAGTGATTCTAATGCCTGTGACAGTGACCCCAGTGGAGGGGTGGACACAGGTGGGTACTCCTGGGAGGGACACATTCTGACCATGGTTGGGGAGGACAGGTAGGAAATTGAGGAAGATGAGCTTATGGGTTTTTACTATTTATGAAAGTGCTTTCAAGGTGTACCTTGTTCTACCGATTCCAATAGAATCCCCATCAGTGCAGCAGTTGTCACCTGCTGGGACCCAGCCTGGTTGTCTCTGTGGCTCCAAAGTGCTATTTGCTTCTGATTTGCCTTGATTCCTGAGACTGCGTGTGCCTGGGAGGGAATGTATGCCATGTGTTTCTGATTCAGCTCTCTGTGCTCAAAGGCACTGTGATTTGGAACGCTATCTGATGGCCTTTGGGCCTCAGAAACCTGTTCTTCAAGCCTTCTTTTCCTGCCCTCTCCCTTCCTTCTCCCTTGACACAGGGGAGGCAGCCCTAGCCAAGAACTGGTCAATACCACAGCCCCAAGCCTTGGCAGAACAGTCCTTGTCTCCCTGTGCTAGCTCCCTGAGCCCCGGAGATGGGGGAACCCCGCAGGGAGCCCAGGATGCACAGTGTGGGGTTTCACTTTCTTTTGGAGGCCACAGGGCACACATCTGCTTAAACAGGCGAACTGCAAGCCCATCTTTGCTGACCCAGTGGTTATGATAGGTTTGCCTTCCAGTGCCTAGTGCTCAAGTCAGAAAATGCTTTGTTCTGTTTTATGTTCTACACGTCTTAAGAGTCTTCTTTCTCCTGCTTATTGGAGCAATAGCTACCCATTCTTTCAGTGAACTTTTATTGTGAACCAGCTAAGTTCTAGGTAATGGAGAATCTGTTTAAAACTGCTCCTGTCCTCCAGGTGGGAGATGGATACTCTAAGAGACAGCGCTGTGATGGGGGCTTCTTTGGGAGAAGCATAAGTAGAGGATGAACTAAGCCCACTGAGGGGGAAGGCAAGATGGAGGGAAGAGTTAAGGGCCATTCAGGGGCATCTTCCCAGCCTTTCCCTGGCTACTGCCAGCGCTCACAGGCAGAATCCAGAGCAAGGCCCATAGGGAAGGAATTGAAGGGGATGAAGAGTCCCCAGGTAACCAACAAGTGAGAGGCTTCTCGGCTCTCAGGAAGATGACTAAGGATGTCCATCTACCAGTTGGGAAAGGCGAGGCCTCCCAGGTCAAAACCCCCACCTGTTTCTAGGCTGATCCCGGCTGAGCAGAGTGATGTTTCCCAATTTGGACCTTGCCTTCCAGTTTACAAAGCAGCCTCACCCCCCTTCCACTCCCCAACCCCTGCCTCGTCCCCCAAGCTCAGTCAGTTCTTCTCCCCCCTGTTTCTCCCTTTGTCCTGTGTGTTTCCTGAGCACCGCCCTCTGGTAGCTGCTGTCACTCAAGAGTGTGGCGTGCGGTTCCCGGGCCATGGCTTCATGCAGCATCTAGTTCGAGAATTCGTGTTATTTTAAACTAAAGAATGAAACTATCCCCCTGGATACCAAATGCCAACAGTGCTTGGCATTTGTTTCCCTTCATTGGTGTTTTCTGGAAAATAGCTTCTGCTCCTTCATTCCACAATAGGAAGGAATTCAGGAGAAAGGAGGAAGGGATAAGGGTTTCTCAGGGAGCCAGTTCAACTCCCACCCCCTTCCCATAAAAGCATTTCCTCTTCCTGCCCTTGAGGTACTGAAGGAAGTCCAAGCTCCACGGACGGCCTCCAGAACTGGAGTCTCCCAAGCATTTTGCCCCGATAAAGCATCACTCTCAATGGTTCATCTCCCAAGTGTTGTTATTGATTCCAGCCATATTGTGCAGCCCTCCTGTTGGTTGCTCATATTTAGCAACAGAATTTTTATGTTGGCTTTTTTTTTTAGTCCGTTTCACGTTGTTTCCCACATATTTCCAGTGAATGAAGAGATTAGTGAATGCATCGTTTTTTTTTTCATAAAGGACGAAAGTTAAACATCCTGTTCTGACTGCAGCGAAATTTTAATGTTTCTGGAATCCATTAAAACCCAAAATGTCAGAGGAAAGCTATTCTGGAGCCTGCAGGAACATAATTTTGCACTTCTGATGTCCATCGGGCATGCTTGCCTGTCCTTGGAAAGGATCACCATTTTCTTTCTTCACTCTTTCCGGCCTTCCTTTTTCCTTCCAGAAAAATGGAAGGAAGCCAACATGTGTAATGTTAAGTACTTTACAAACATTATCTTTCTGAATCCTCCCAACCGCCCCTTCTGAAGCTCAGACACGCTGACAAACTTGACCCAGGTCGCCCGGCCAGGAAGCATCAACCACAGCCTCCCACTGACCATCTCTCTCCTTTTCTACCACCGGCCACTCCTAGTTGCAGCCCTGATGCCCCAGCACCCCCCTCCCCCACTTTGCAGAGAAGGAATGGCTAGGGAGACTGGATGTCTGTGCAAGCCAGAGAGGGACTGACACCTTCGCCTTCCCTCTGGGCTAGAGACCACGTTTTCTCACGTGTAAGCAGATGTGCCACTGCAAACTTTACAGCCAAGAATGACTTCAGAGCATCTGGGTCGACTATCGAGGGCAGCTCTGCACATGCAGTTGTCATTACATATTTTCATTCCTTGCAGGAGACAGGCAGGTGGCTCGAGTCTGACTGTGTAGCTGAGTGGAAGGGACTCTCTTACCAGCTGGTGGGGGGCAGATCAGTTGTGACAGCCTGAGGATCAGGGTCTAGCTGGCTGCAGCTTCGCAGTCAAATCTGGGCATTTGTAATCTACTAATAGTCCATTCCTGGACACAGAGGCCCCGGGGCCTTTCAGCCTGCCTTCATTTGGACGTTTGTTAGAAAATCAGAGAGTAACAGGCTTGGATGGGAAGGGTGGGGTGAGGAGGGTCCAAAAGGAGCAAATCCACTGAATTTCACTGCAGGCACAGCCAAGTTCTAACACATAGGGGGAGCACAGCCAAGGGGCCTCCTGGCTTAGCCTTCACCCTCATCCCAGCACATGCCTTGGGAATTTTCCAGGCCTTTCTTGGACTTGGAAGGGCTTGGGAGGTGATAGTGGGGTTGGCAAGCAAGGAGCATTGTCCTGGCTGGGCCACTCACTGGTCAGGGCCCTCAAGGAGATGAGCCAAAGCCCCTCCCCCAGGCATGAGCCCCATCTTAAGAAGCAGGCAGGATGGGCCCCCTCTTTGCCTCACTGTGCCCCTGAAAGAGGGAGGGTGTCAAGGAACTGTCAAGACTCCCAAAGTCAAGTAATATCTCTTGAGCCTTCTCTGACCTCCTGGGAATTAAAGTCTCCCCTTTGAGACTCACACGGGAATGTGGTCCCTTTGCTCTTGACATTCTCAGCAGCCCTGAGATGGCAGGCCTGCACCTGTCAACACTGGAGTGTGACCTCTGAGGGACAGAGCATCTCAAATGCTGGTCTGAGGACTTGGGTCTGCACCGTCCTGCCTGTTCCCTGAAGCCACTCTGTTGCCAGGCCAGGGGCTCCCAAGCAAGTGGGCTCACCCTGCTGGTGCACAGGGCCAAGCTGGGGGTCCGTGCACCCTAAGTTCTTCCACTTGTGATGGTAACAGCTGTCATTATGACACAAATTAATGTGCTGGTCTAGGTCCTTTATGTCCAGACCTCACCTAACTTCAGTCCGTCCAACAGGCCTTAGTATCTCCCTTTACAGCTGAGGAGACCGAAGCACAGAGAAGTGAAGAAGCCTGCCTGGGTAACACTTAGGAAGTGAGAAGTCGAGATTTGAGCCCAGACCCAACTGAATCCAAATATGCTGTGTGTGCAGTGACATCCTCCCTCCTTCTAGACACACCTGCCGCTCACATGTCTGTGTGTTTGACTTAGAGCACTGGTCTGGCCAGAGTTAGCACCACCACCTAAAGACATAGCAGGCACCCAGGATGCAAGGCTGTGGGGCCATTAGAGTCTGGTCCACAGTCATGATTTTGCATATGAGAAATGAGGCCCAGAGAGCAGATGGGCACTAAACTGGGCAGAGAGCCCGTGTCTTACTTCTGAATCTCCACAGTCATTTTTCCTGACTCTCTGGGATGCTGGTCATGCCATGAAATTTTGTCCTTTCCCACAAAGGTGAACCATCAAATGTCTAGCAAAATCTCATTTAATTGCTATGCCTTCAGTGAAGCTGTCATAAATGTTACTTGGTCGGGTAGATGGAGTCCACCAGCAGCCACAGTGCATAGGTGTCTGCGTGGAAGTTCAGTCCCTGTAAATCTGTACTTGGGGGACATTGGCCTTTAGGTCAGTTTCTAGGAAGAGAAATAGCAAGCAAAGGCAGCAGGCCTGGCAGCAGAGGTAGAACACCACCAGTGAGGAGCATGCCTGGTCTCATTTCCCCCTCCTGACTTCTGTTCCTGCTGTGGGCCAAGGGGAAGAAGGCCCAAGAGGAAGCTGGAGGGAGTGTGATGCTAAAGGCAGCTGGGGCCTCCCAGAAGGCCTATTGCACAAAAGGCCCTTCCTGGGAAGGAGTGCATGGCAAGGCCTGGTGCCCAGTTCTCGTGCCCAGAACCCCCTTGCAACCCTCTCTCTGCCAGCAGCCAGGTCTTCCTATAGCCCCTGGCCTGCCCCACCCATGATCTGAGAGCAGTGGAGGCCAAGAGCAGGTGTGTAACCTAAGATGGGCCAGGGCAGCACACAGGGTGGGCTCAGAAGTGGCTATTTGACAGGAAGAGGAAATCTGGAAGTGACTGGGGTACCCGAGCATCACTTACCCACAGGGAGAGGAAGGAGGAGGGCAGTGGGTCCAGGCAGACAGAGTAGACACTTTCCTCCACAGCACATGCCTCCCTAGGATGAGGGCCCCCTTGGGACAAGCCTGTAATGTCCTCTGCCTGCAGTTTGTAGACCTGCCATGCTGGTCAGGTAGCAAGGTGGGCCAGGTAAGCAAGGCGGAAGCACAGCTTCCCTGGGCCCTCTGTTCTCCCTGCTCTGTCACCCGAGCTCATCTCTTTTCCTCTCTGAGTCTCAATTTCTTGATTTGTAAGCTGGTGACAATCATAGCCACCTTTCAGGACCACTGCACTGAAGGGAAGCCGGCCAGGGTGCCTGGCTCAGAGAAGCAGGCTCCCACTGGTGCTGTTATTAGTTAGATGGTGTCAGGGCTTAGCGCCTATAGGGCCTAAGTGAGTGACTTTGTTTGAGAGCTGCTTTTAAGTGAACAACAGCATCACCTGATTGCTGGGAATGGCTTCTGGTTCTTCCCCTAGTGTAGTTTCTGTACAAATGCCTCTTCTAGGACTAAGGGGAGTAAATAGACGGCGAGTTTGTTCCATGGGAAAGCCTGTAACTCATCACTATACGTCTTCACTCATGCTTCCAATGGGCGTTGTTCCAGCCTGCTCTGTGCCACATTCCGGATGGTTCCTGGCATGCCCAAGATGCAGCCCCTGGCCTGGAGAAGTTCACACCGGGACACAGGGGGCGGGTAGGGGGTATCACTGTGATGATGGTGTCTTCTGGTGCCTGAAGGCAGGTGGCGGCTGTCAGCAACCATGGTGCTGGAACTTATATGACAAGATGAGCCAGAGTCTGACTGTGGGGAAGCAGAGGTGGGTTGGACGCTCCAGGCATGGGCTGCCTGTCCCCACTGCAGGAGATATTGCCAGACACCCAGTGTGGCCCCATTCATGAGCTTCTCAATACAGGGCCTGTGAGACCAGAATAAGAAGGACAGGGCCTCCCATGCAAGCAGAACACTTGTTCCTCATTCTGCAGGCATCAAAGGGCCAGCCAGCAAAGCTTCCTCAGTAGGGGAAGACACTCGGATGTGGCCTAAATACCTTTGTGTCAACGAAAAATGCCCCCCAGACATTGCTGAGCATCTCATGGCAGGGAGGGGCGGGGGCACAAAATTCTCCCAGGTTGAGAACCAGTGCTGTAGATAAATCATGAATTTAGACCCAGAAGGGATTTTGGTGGTCACCTACGCTAGACCAGGTATGGTCCTGATTTGGCCAGGAACCAGCAAACACCTCTGGGCCTTGTCTTCTCTAGTGCACAGGAACTTGAAAGAGATGCTCCCAAGGTTAACATCCCACTGGACCCTCACTTTACTAATCAGATGCCAGGCACAGAGCTAAAGGAAGGTGCCCGCCGTCAGGACTCCAGGACTCATGGGTTCTCTAATATTGGTAACAAAGACTCGACGCCTGGGGCCTCTCCTACATAGACCTAGGCCCTGACTGGGCAATAGGCATTCTCACCAGGTGTCCAGCCCTGTGCCAAGAGGTGCTGGGTAAAAGACAGGGGCAGCAGGAGACAGGGCTGGTCAGGAATGCCAGCTCACAGTCACAAGGCTGGTGCTGGTGCAGGGGGCTGCCTGGAGAAAGGAGACATGCTGAGGGAGCCTTTCGTAAGAAGGCACACAGGAGGGTAGCAGGAGTCCACGACAGTGATGTGAGTCCTTCCAGATGCCTGGCCCTCCAGGAGCATGAAAGCCTCGGGAGTCTGGAGCCTGGGCTGCTGTGTCGGGCTCACAGCCACTGCCAGCACTCCAGGGGACAGGTCTCGGGCGCAGTCACATCCTCCTTCCACTGCAGCCCACCTCCATGAGCTCCTTTTCCACATCTGTCTACAGGCCCTATGGGGTAGTGTGAGGACCATGTGAGCTCATGTGAGCCTGAGGGTTTGCTTGACCAGGAGGAGTTGCCTGGCACGAGGAATATTGATGTTGTAGCAAGTAGAATGAAATCAGCACTGCGATAGGTGGGGAAGGAGAGAGGGGCAGAGACAAAAAGACAGACAGACAGATGTGGCAGGGCTGAAGATACCTAGGCCTTCACCCTCAGGGGACAGTTGGGTGGCCTTGTCCCACTTGGACAGGTGGAGATGGCAGGGAACCGGGCCACTCAAGGCCCCATGGCATGATCCCTGCTTCTCCCAACACGAACAGGCAGGCCTCCCCTGGGCTGTGTCCGCAGGCCTGCTTGTGCATGCAGAAGCCTCCCTTGACCCCAGGGCCAGGCCAGGAAGGGGTGGCTGCAGAAAGACTTCTGAATTCCACAGCCAGGGTTTTAAACAAGTCAAAACCAGGGCAAGTAAAGCCTGAGGGCACATGAGTCTATTCTGACGATGTTGAGAGGCATAAATGGAGGGTAGGAGGCCAGTGGATCGGTGGGGCTGATTCTAGAGGCAGGGGCTGGGGTCTGACTGTCATTCAAGGGGCCAGCTAGTGGTGAGGGGTACTGGTTAGCCACATCCATTTCCCAGCCATGTGTGGTTGGCTCTGAGTAACCACCAGGACCACAGTGTTGGCAGTGGGAGGGCATCCAGAGGTGGGAGGGGCAGGCCAGATGGGGAGAAGAGGGGAGAAGCAGGAAAAAGACAAGAAAGATGGGAAACAAAAGGGGGGGGTTGGTCCTCAAGAATAAAGCACATGTAGCCTCAGGACAGGCTGCCCCTATCCCGAGAAAACCCCCTTGTGCCTCACCAAGTTGAGAAGAGACCACAATTTGTGTCTGCAAAGGCCACCTCCCAGCAGGCTTGAGGGGCTTCATGTGAGTGGGTGCTTGTATGAGGGTGGGGGAGAGGGGGCTGAAGCTGCATTTGATTTAGGAAGCAGATAGGACCACTGCCCTGAGCAAGCCTTGTGGGTCCCCATGCCTACACAGGAGCGCCCCACTGTGCCCACACGCTCCTCCTGCCCCCACTAGGATGCCATTCTGGGGTCCCTCTCTGGGGTGTCTGTAGGCTCAGCCATCCCAGGACAAGGTGAGCCCTTTCTGCCTGGAGCTGCTGGAAAAGGCCTCAGACTCACTGTCACAGTTGCAGGAGGCAGCGTGAAGTCCCCGGGGACTTGGGGGCAGGCGGTCGTGTTGAAATCTGGCTCTGTCCTACCAGCAGTGAGAACTTTGGAAGGCACTTCCCACTGCTGAAGCTTATCCTTGTTGTCTGGCATGGGGCATAATAAATCTTATTTTGTAGACCATCAAAGTATTAAATGAGATATACAGTGCTTGGAGTGGTGCCTGGCACAGGAACTATTAGCAGGACTAACCAGTCACTGGGCATCTGCTGTGTGGCAAAAAGTTTGCTCAAGAGAAGTAAAGGGGAGCCCATGGTCCAGCTGATGGACCCCCTGATGTGGGGAGGATCCCGGGTGAGTTCCGCACTGCCCCACTCTTTCGTCCCCGCTTGGAGGCCTCCCTGCACACAACCTGAGCTGGAGCTGGGACTCTGGCGTGGATCGGACCTGATGACCCAGGAAGTCACCTGAAGGCACAGGCAGGTGACCAGTCAGGCCTCTGGGAGAGCTGTGGGAGGGGCTTGGAGGGGTAAACAGAGGTCAGCGGAGAAAGGGGGTCCTTTGAGGTCTATGGCCCTGTGCCTGGAGAGGCTAGCAGAAGACGCCAGGTGGGTGCAGTGAGCAGCACTTGAGCGTATGGTGCCTGAGCCCAGACACAGGCGTGGTCTGCAAAGCAAGCAGATGAGCATGCAGGCAGCCACTTCTGAGAATGGCTTTAGGAAGGAGGCAGACTCAGGACATGGGGGACCCTGATTAGGGAGCACCTGCAAGGGACCA